CATAGGGTGGATTATCGATTCTTGTGTTCTGCATTAAACTATTTATAGTTTAAGGGCCTGGTTAGAAATGTTGCCTTAGACTAGGAATAGCTAAGAGCTTGTTATAAAATGATTTGACCTTAGATAAGAATAATTTAAGAGCATGGTTGAGATATTGAATATCGAATGACTTGGAATAAAATATTGAGAATATCATGAATGTTTGAATCATATATTGTGTGCATGATATCAAATGGTTGATTATGAATTGAGATTCAATTTATTTGGATGTTCGACGCTTTAGATATGCTTACTCAGCTTCATCGCTGAGCGTGTAGTATGTTTTATTTGCTACACGCAGGTAGACAGAATGAGTGAATGGCATGTTCTTGGCAGCAGAAGGGGCGAGACAGTCGTGGTGGATCATTGAACAAAATAAATAATTATGTTGTTATGAGACATGTTTGAAAGTCGCTTCCGCATTATTATTATTAAACACTCCGTATTTTCTACAATTATGTATGGAATATTATTATTTATAAATAAAGATGTTTGAAATGTTTTAAATTTTTACGATTACCAAATCAATACTTTAATCCGAAAGGGGCTGCAGACCTGGACGGATTAGGGTGTTACAGTGCGAGCACTTTCCGGAAAGGTTTCAATGAGACGCACAGGGGCCCGATGCGTCGGTGACCCATCGAGGTCTACTTTGACCTCAATTTTGCTCGTTTCTGATCGTATGGCCCATTTTATGTTCGGCCCATTTATTTCTCATTCCTAACCCCGTTTTGACTTCTGTTCGTTTTGGGTTTCGGCCACCCTTATTTTGTGTGGCTTCTCGACGCACTGTGGAAGTTCACGGGACGCTCTGTGCTCGCCTGGCAGTTTTGAAAAGAATCAAGCGCATAACTTGCAAAAAGAAAATGATGAAAAGAACAAAAAGTGGTGCAACACGAGGACTTTCTAAGGGGTCACCCATCCTCGTACTACTCTCGCCCAAGCACACTTAACTTCGGAGTTCTGATGGGATCTGGTGCATTAGTGCTGGTATGATCGCACCCATCATGTGTTGCGCGTATCGTGTATTTATTCTCAATCCATCGGTATTGCTCATAATCTAAACAACAAACTTGACTTCAGAGTACTGATGGGATCCGGTGCATTGGTGCTTGTATGATCGATCCCATCATGCTAAAGTTTAATGAGCGAAGTGGTAAAATAAGGGGTCAAAGACTCACCCTATCGGTCTTTTGCTTGTTTGCACCCATCGTCAACCACTTAGCGTGGTGATCACGCTGTTTTGGGCATAACTTTTGCAAGGAGTGTCCGTTTTCAGCGTGCGAGCACTTTCTGGAAAGGTCTCAACGAGACGCACGGGGACCCGATGCGTCGGGGACCCATCGAGCTCTACTTTGACCTCAATTTTGCTCGTTTCTGATCGTATGGCCCATTTTATGCTCTACATTATTAAGGATATCTAGAAGAACTCTAAGATATACCCACTTGTATAATGATGATGAATATTAAGGATATCTAGAAGAACTCTAAGATATACCTCCTTGACCAATTCATATTTCGGGGTTAAAACGTACGTACGGGATCCAGACCGGATATCACCCACCCGACAAATCATTGTTCGGTTGGTACGTAATCCACATGACCCATAGGGTGGATTATCGATTCTTGTGTTCTGCATTAANGTTAAAGATGCAATTCTAGGTCTAATCTCTCAGGATTTGCAAACTCGTCGTAACCGGCTCCCGGACCCGGGAAAGCTTTAGCAAACTCTAGTTTGTCTAAAAGCTCGTCAACAAAGAAAGAAGAAATAAAAAGTTTCCTCTGACTAGAAGCCATGAAGTTCTGTCTCACTGCATCGTCTAAGAATTTGAGAAGGTTATTGAAATAACCGTCAATGTTTAAACGACCAATGGGTCTATTGTGTAACCCTTCAGAAGCCCACGAGATCAAGGTGAACAAACCTTCCATAGTGTCAACTCCTCCGGGAAGAACGATGAAAGCTTCCACAGCATGATTCATCTCAAAATATTTGTAGTAATTGCTGGAAACTGTGTGCTCTACGCCATATGTAGGTCCATAGACCCGTCGTGTTGCGATGTACCCAGGAATGAAACCTCTAACGAGACCACCATTGGTAAAGACTGTTGAAGCAACAGCTCCTTGTAGGCCAACGTTGCCTCCTCCACAAGCAAGACTAATTCTTCGTCTTAACAATTCCCTTCCTAAATCTACCGCAGTAGCCATAAACTTTGGATTTCTACCAAGAGAATGACTGCCAAGTAGACCAACGAATCTTATGGTGTAAGGAAGTGTTCAAGAAGTTCCTTCCATAATGTGAGAATGTGAGATACTCTTTCAATAATCGTGATATATATAGTCTTTGAAACCTGACCATGGATGGAAAGGTAATTATCACCAGCCAAAATATGTACAGTAAATGGACTCAAATTACCTGCATACGAGAACGTACTCGCTAATGCTATAAGTCTGCTGACGATATGACGTGTTGAGACTCTTGAACAGTTAGATTCGTTGTCCTAAAACACGTTCAAATCCGAGACGAAAAGTCAAAATGACTATTTCTAAGACATCGAACCCTTGAGTAATTTCCAAAGAGTGAAACATCGAAAGAAGAAAATCTACGATTTGTAACGGTAATTCACAAACGCTATCTTTATATCTCGTGACTCGTATCCTTGAATTACTCAAGCTTGATGTGTTAACTACACTCTTGAAACATCTCGCTTGATCAATCTTGAAAAGATTGAATTCCATTGTTGTATCAAAATATTAAACCCTTGGGAACTTGTCTTAATTCATCAAGATACGTTATACCGATCTTTGAAAACTACACTCTGTGAACTACGGTAAAAGCATTCTGACTGGAATATTATGTTGAGCCTCTCTTTGTGAACCACAAAATGGTTGATGCGATTACGTTATCTCTGAAGATTATTATCGATGATCTCATTTGACCAAACAAACTCCGTTATGACCCTACTAAGGGAATGTATGTGCAACAACCAGAGAAGAAGTGACCCCACAAGGATCAAGCTGAATCATTCAAGTGAAGATTCCAAACCTATATGCGATGTTGGTGTAAGAACTAGTAAAGATTCCTCACTCTATGAATTCATGAATTGAATCACGCACTGAAGATATTATCTTCTTCACTCGAAATGAAATCAACCATAGTGTTACATCAAACCTGTCATTATCAAGAACGTATCTGGATATATTCCAAACTCGATGAAGAAAGTTGAATACGACAAGACGTATATGAAACGCCACTCTAACGTTATCACCTGTGGATACGAATTAATGCAAAGACTCATTAACGATAATGAGATCTACCATGAAGTAAACGAAGAAATGTTTTGGTATAAGGTCGATAAATGACAAGCTACTGTACAACGAGTAGTACCTCCTCATAATGCATGATAAATCCCATATCCTGAAAATCTTGGACCACGAAAAGCCATTTGATGTTACTTACAAATCATTCTGAACTATATGAATAATGTGAAGATGTCTTGAATGACTTGGATGATTTC